AACGCTGGGTCTGTGTCGAACAAAAAAAAAACAGCCGTATCTCCAAAGCCTCGAACCAGAAAGTCGAACTTCGGTAGTGGTGGTGGGGGGGTGCACTCATAGTTGCGTATGTCGTGGTAGTCGTTATATAGACTATTGACCTCGCATCCCTACAAAGCCGGGACGGAGCACGCCGGGTTCTCACCGGGCCAGGCTCTCACATCACCAAGCGCGAAGCGCGCCGTGAGTTATTCTGGGAGTCGCATGGTGGTGGTGGTGGTGGTAGTGGGGAGGTTTGCTCAAAAACATGCCCGACGGACAATCGCTTTACGTACATGGAAGGCAGCAAGTTTTGGGTCTCGGCACGAAAAAACCCGGCTGTGAGACACACACTCGAACCTCCAACACATTTACAAATACTCATCTCGGAGGTAAAACGACTGGCACACAACGCAGCATCTCCCCTGTTTCGAGATCCTGTTTGGGCCCTACGGGGGGGGGGGGGGGGGCCGCCAAACCCACCCTGGGAATGAATGAATGCCCCAAGGGAACGTGAAAAAAAACACACCATTCGGTTCACCCCACAAAACGAAAATCGGGGGGGGGGGGGAAAGGGGGGGGCAAAAAAACAGCGCCGAAAGACAGCCTTCGCTGAATGTACTGACTTCAGCATACCGTGGGCAAAGGAGGGTTCCGACCGTTGAATTAACTTGAATATTCCATCTGTACCGGACAAATTTCACCGGTACTATACCGGGCGACCGGAATTTTCCGGGACTACTACTGGCGTAGCATGCAGCAGTTAGTATTTTTCAGAAAATATCCAGCTAATCACGGAAACATTACTATACCATCTGTGCCAGACGATTCCACCGGCACTACTATACCGGGCGACCGGCATTACACCGGGACCTCTACTGGAGTACATAGCACATACAGCAATTCAGTTTTTTCAGAAAATATACAGCCAATCACGGAAACACTACCCGTTCGAGATGATACCACAGCCGAAGGGTGTGTGTTGAAGTTCTTTGCAATTTACCGAATTGGACACAAGATAACACACCCCCTGGACCAAAAGCTCGATTTATCAAGACAGAAAAGGGTCGCAGCGCTGAAAAAAGGCGGCGTTGAAGCCGTCTGGTCGAGAGCTCTCCGAAAACGCATCGTTTCGTCTACGTATCCTCTACGTCGTGGAGTAATCGGGCTTTGAAAATGTGTCCGGGGTGTGTGCTATCTTGCGTCCAATACGGTACATTGTTTCATGAAGATGACGCCTTCGTAAATCTCCGGAGAATGAGGGTATACTACTGCCGAACCACCGGTGCCGTTACCGAAGCACATAACGCCCATGACACTCGCAGTTTCAAGCATGCGGCGAGTAGAGCTGCGCGATGTGCCCGACATCCAAGGAAGCCATCGGGCTATGTAAACACCACCCGACGTCAGACGAATGACTGGTAGCGATGCAGCAACGTGCTCTACGTAATAAATTTGTATCGCGGCAGTTGGGTACCGTAAACGGCACAAGAAAACACACCCCCTGGCCCGATATTCAAACCTCGATTACGCCACGACGAGGAACATGCATAAATGAAACGACACCTTTTCGGAAAGCTCCCGACAAGGCGGCTTCAACGACGCCGTTTTCGGCGCTGTGACTCTCTCTGCTGCCGAGAAATCGAGCTTTGAAAACCGGTCCAGGGTGTGTGTTATATCTTGTGTCGTATACGTACGGTATGCGCATGTGCCTAATCGGGGCTGGCTGTCCGTCCACCAGTCTCCTGCCCACCGACCATAACTTCTAGAGCACCCACCTTCAAACTGTAAGCATGAAACAACAGTCAGAGCGCTCGACGCAGAGAACAAAATTGGCGGGGGGTATAGCAGTACCTGGTACCTGTACTACTGCAGTATGGTACTGGTCAGGTACAGTTTAGATGCTCGAGGTTGTGCCGTTAGACGATTCTTGTTCGAGTGATCCCACAGCGGTCAGAATACACCAAGTAAGCAGCATATTCTACAGCAGTACAAGCCACCGGAGCAATTGTAATAGTTTTATTTGTTGTCGGGATTGTGTATGCATACCGAGTCGTGAGAGGGAATGAGGGGATACATCGACGTATCAACGTACAAGTATCGTACGATATAGGATACAAGAGGAGGTGCGGCAACGGTTTTTCACCGCTCTCCGCTTCCACGACCGCACTGCATTTTCCACGCGAGACGCCGAAATTATTTTATGTTCTTGCACATCGTGCGTGGTGCTGCTGTAATGCACCTTGAGATTGCAGCAATGAAGAAAACAAGCAAATAAAATCATGCGTAACTTTGCATCCACGCACAGCAGCACCGAGCGCCTCGTAGAGTGTGCGACACGTGCTGCTGCTGCGGTGTCTGTCAAATCTCTTTGTGCGGAGCGCTGAAAATTGGAACGGGGGAGTAGGGATGTACGCACTCGGTCGACCCTTCGTTTTAGCAGCGGATGTCCAGTGTCCAGCCGAGAGCGCAGAGAGCTATGCCAAGTCGTAACATGTCTGCTGGTAGGCAGACCAATAGAATGCAGAGACGCACACAAAGAAGTGTACTAGTAGAGGAGAGACACGTGATCCAATGGACCAAAGCAAGATCTGCGGTATGGAATCATCAGAGTAGCAGTGCTGGCGTTTCCCCCCCTCTCTTCTCTCTGGTAGCTAGCCAAAGAGTGCCTGTACACAAGGGTACAGCTCCCTGCGACACTCACTTCTTAGGTCTCGGAAAGACATCTCGCCACGGCAGGCTCTAGTGCTACCCCCCCCCGCCCCCTCGCGCACGCCCTCCTCCTAGTGCTCGACAGCAGCGAGCTCCGTGTTGTTTATTCCCAGCTGCAAGGCGCGCACACGCACACACGTCAGATCCTGTGATCCTGGGAGGCAACGCACACTGCTTGGAGCAAAGCGAGTATTTCCGCCACCACCGGGGCACCCGCTCTCCCTCTCTCTCTCTATCTTCGCGCCGCCTTTCGACCAGAAAGACCCCTCGGATGCCCGCGCTGCTGCGCACGCGCGCGCGTTGGCGTTTTTGCTCTCGTGATGTACCGGTGTGTGTGAGGAGAGGTGAAGAAGGTGAAACCCCCGCCGACCTTTTTTTTTTTTTTTGCGGGGTAATTTTGTAATTTTAGCGACACATCGCTACCTACACCCCCATACCCGATGGTATCTTCCAGTCTAGTGCAGTATAATAATGCAGGATCCGGTACTTAAAATAATACCGCGACAGCAGTGTGGGGTCCAGTGTGCTGCGTGTGTCCGCACCGAATTTTCCACAAATCTGCAAAAACTACTGCTGTACCGCGTTTTCACGCGCGACGCCGTGAGCACCCTGGGCCCGATTGATTGCCGTTGCTGCTCTGTCACAGCTGCTGCCGACACACGGCTGCTGCAGCGGTGACCATTCCGTTTCTCCCAGCACCACGAAATAGAGATTCCATGCTGTGAGCTGTGAGCTGATTGATTGGCTGGTTGGTGTTGCACAGAAAATATTGGTTCTCCTCCCGAAAATCACCCTTTCGGGAACTCCTGTGACCTTTTTCGCCGCATTATGGCAGGCTGCTTCTTTCGGATTTAAACTATAGGGGCGCTACGCTACTGATGTACACGTTGTCGGGTCAGTCAACGAAGCATCCGCGATTGTTCTGAAGAGGGGCTGGCTATCTGGAGCGAGAGCCTAAAGACGTATTTGCGGGTGGCCGAGAAGACGACCAGCGGGGCATCGGAGAGATCCTCAGATCCTCGTCAGCGCTTGGAAAAGGTTCGCGACGACGATAATAATTAGCAACCGCTGGGATTTGATATCTGGACCACAACAGTACTACTGTAGCGTGATATATAACGCCTTGTGTGTCGCGCATAACACTGCTGTAGCTTCTCAGGACAAAGATATTGCGGTCAAATCAGTTCTGCTTCGGAGAGAATCGTGGGAGGGCGGGGGACGGACAATCAACCTTAGTTTTGGTATTTGGGTGTGGGGCTGCTGCTACTATAGCGCCAGGCTGGACGGTTGATAAAGTTCAGTTTAGACTACAGTATATCTGTTTATTTAGCGCCGATGCTGAGGTGGGGTTAGCGACTATGTATCCCCAAGATTCTCCCGGTTCCTCCAACCTTGGTGTGGAGCAAATACGTCTCATGGGAACTGTGTGAGAGCGATGAGCAAAGCTTGGGTACGTCGTACTACAACACGTGGGCAACGAGGGTTCAGCACGCCGAAGAATACCTACCGCCCATGTAGGACGCAAGGTTACACACCAAATAGTCGGACAACACCCACCCCGCAACGTACCACACGCGGTGGCATTCAATAGTAGTGTTACGGGTCGACATGAGCAAAAACGAAAAAAAAACTACAAAACATCGCTCACATCAGTAATAGGCAGACGGAACATGCCACACCGCCACACATCATCCTACCCGCGGTGGGTATTTTTGAAGCCCTTATATTTATGACCGGCGTGTGTTATCTTGTGTATAAGGTAGTCATCCCGTTGACCAATGAGACGTTCAGGTGAACGCCTACTTGACTACGTCGGTTAGCCAGCGGTCGGTCGCGAAACTAAATCGTTCTATCTGTGCTTGCGATCATTATTGATATCAGGCATGGCAACAGGCGAACCCGCCGGCGGCGACCAGGAATATCGAGATGAAAACGGCGGTGAAGTGGTATCTTCGTCAATGGAGCGAGAGGAGGGAGGTAAGAGCGCAGCAGCGGGCGAGAGCAAACGAAGGAACACATTAGAGGCTCTTGCGAAACGGGGCGAGATAATGTGGACGTGGCTAATAAAAGTGGTCACAAATCTCCCCACGACCGTGGAGGACGATTCCCTCTTTTGAACCCTATGCTGTGACGTGTTGTTGCAACCGCCTTTGTTAAGGGCGCGAGGGGGATTGCAGTACCTCCTCTTCAAAAATCCAAGAAACGCCTGCATATCTCAGTTTTCCAAAGTCAAACCCCGGTGCGAAACTACAATCGCAAATTAACTTACCCCCCCTCGTACACAATGTTAGTATCTGAGATTGTAGCCCTTGCGATACACTACAGATTAGCGGCCCGCGATTTTCCAAATGATCCTTGTATCATCGAGATCGGTGAACTACAACAATGATTTTTGAAGCTGCTGTGCGGTCCGATTCTCAAACCCTTCAAGCACACTGCGACAGCGAATCACCGCGTATGTGAGTGTGTGGTGCCGCGAACTTCAGCGCAGCTCTTCCCTCACATATCCATCTCGTCGCCATGGTCGATTTGAATGCCTGGGGTCATGTATATGCAGGTCTAGCCGTAAGCAAAGGTGCTTGAAGCGTCTCAGAATCGGACCTCCCAGCAGCTTCAAAAACTCCTGCTTGTAGCTCACCGATCTCGATGATACAAGAGTCGTTTGGAAAATCACGGGCCGCTGATCTGTAGTATATCGCAAGGGCTACAACCTCATATACTTCTACTAGCATTGTGCATGAGGGGGGGTCAGCGGACGGTTAATTTGCAATTTGAAGTGTCGTACTGGAGTTAGACTTTGGAAAACTGAGATATGCAAGCGTTTTCTGGATTTTTCAGAGGAGGCACTGCGATCCCGTGCCCTTAACGTCGATCCCATGTGCAGTCGAATGGCTGATGGTGCAATGGGTTGTGTATTATTGGTTTGCCTTCCGCCCCCGAGGGCGATGGGAGGGAAAACAAGGCAAGACAGAGAGAGAAAGAGGAGCAAGCCTCACACGGCTCACAGCTCACACACACAGAACCAGAACACTCTTTGCTGTCCAACAGCACACCGATACAAAGACCGTCACTTTTGGAGATAACACACCGACATGACATTACTATTTTCGCTTGCTGGCAACGAATCCCGTCGCAGACTCACCAATTCGAGAGGACGAAGGAGATTACGACGAGGACGGCACCGGCCACGATGGCGCGTCAGCCCAACTTCCTTTCGAGCCGAAGGCGCCCGAACGATCACCCGCGCCGGCGATTTTCAAAGCCTGGCAGCAAGACAAGTACGGAACTATGATGATGCAGGTGCGATAGACACTACAGTAGTGTAGTCTCGCTTCACGTCGAACACGGACTTCGACACTATTTGCTTTCACTCTGAGCGAAGGCGATGGCCGAGGAGTGGTATGAGTGGCGCACTCGACAACTACGCACCGGATATGTTGAGAGTTCGAGTCCCGACTAGTCGCAGATGTTTTGAACTATTATAATAGTAGCACTTGAATACACTTGAGTGAAGGGATGCTATTAAAGCACACAGAGAGAAGTAATCCAGTAGTAGGTCATGGCCATGGGCATGTGGGTCATTTTTACTCAGAAACGCTTCTTATACATGGTGTAGCAACGAGGAACGAAATTGTACCCGAAACGTCGACGTCTCAAGGATACTTTTAAGACCCTTGCAGCTAAGCTTCTCCTGGTGGGAAGTACGTGATTGGTTCCACGTGTGTGGCAGTGGCAGTAGGCCCTCGCGGCAAGCATGGTTCAAATTGCACTCGGGGAGGATGACCCAGTATCGTTGTGGAAATCATTTCGAAAATC